TGGTAAGCAGCTTTTTTTTTTTTTCCGGGAAGTTTTTTTTTCGGGAAGGAATTCTTTTGGTGCGGGCTCTTTGGGAGAGGAGGGTTAGGACTGCATGCATGCCTAGATGTGGAATAGTGCATTGATGTGGTTTATCACATCGCAGTAATCAACCTCGGTAATCTCTTCAAAAGTCTCATCCAGAATGTGGGCAATGCGCTTGCACAGGTTTATTGGAAGAGCCACCGTGGTCCTTGTCCCAATCAGGCTAACATGTCCGCGCCACTGTGCCGCGAGGGGTGGGGGGACCATTGCTGCTCACAGGCAAGCTGCATATGGGCCAGGGCGAAAGCCAGATTGCAGTAGAAGACCCTCCCTTGCTTCCCAGGTTACCCTCAGCAGCGAGATATCTTCCAGGATAAACTCCTGTGGAAAATGTTGGGACAGTGTTCAGTGTAGGTGCCCCCTGCAGCTGTTGGCTCTCCCCAAGGCACAGAAACCCAGAGGACAGTACAGCCCTGAAACAATCAGTCCCCCTTACTCACCATTTTGGGGCTCCCGTGGGTTATGGGCACTCTCTTTGGGACGGGAAAATTATGCTATTGTGTAGACTGTGTGTGCCCTCCTTAAGTGCCGGGGAATCATTACTCTGTCTGGTATAAACAATGCTTCCTCTGTTAAGTGTTGCATTTTGCCTTTACGGACGCAACCTTGAGATCTCAGCCGTCCATGTTATCACCGGCTGAGAGACTGCAAAAACTCCAGAAGAGATCGCGAAAACGCAAAGAAGACATGCTGCACGAAGTAATGCATCAATCTCTTACAGAGAATAAAAAAGCGCAGGAGTGGAGGGAGAGCGAAAGCAGGATCCGCAAGGAACACGCAGCGTACTGGAAGCAAAGCACGGATCGGCTGACAAGCATCATGGAGTGCCAAGCAGACTCTATCCAGGCGCTCGTAGCCGTGCAGGCGGAGCACTACCGCGCCCGCACCCTCCCCCCCGCAACGCTTGTTCCAAAACTCTTTCCCTTGTGCCCCCATGTCACCTCCAACCCACTTTCCCCAACATCCGGGTTCTTACCGCCACCAGCTGCCTCCAACACCTGTATCTTCACCAACCAGCCCTGAGAACTACGATCCTTACTCTCTGCACTCAACCCCCATCACCATGCAGTATAGCCATCCTGAAGTGCAGCACTCATTGCACAGCACTCCAGACAGGACATACGCAAATCTATGATTGTACCGTTCCCCACCCCACCCCCTTGCCCTTTCTGATTCCCAAACAGTTGTGTTTCTTTCAATAAATGATTTTCTTTTCAATAAATGGATTTTTTGGCTTTGAAAACATTCTTTATTATTGCATAAAGTAAAAGATACCTTAGCCCAGGAAAGAAACAGGTACTGTAAATCAGCTTAGCAAACACAGATTCCTACTGACATTGTAACCACTGCACTTCACTCCCCTGCAGGGCACCAGACATTACTGCTGGTTTTCAGCCTCAAATTGCTCCCTCAAGGCATCCCTAATCCTTGCAGCCCCGTGCTGGGACCATCTAATAGCCCTGCTCTCTGGCTGTGCAAATTCAGCCTCCAGGTGTTGAACCTCGGAGGTCCATGCCTGACTGAATCTTTCACCCTTCCCTTCACAAATATTATGGAGGGTACAGCACGCGGATATAACCACAGGGATGCTGTTTTCGGCCAAGTCCAGCTTCCCATACAGAGATCGCCAGCGGCCCTTTAAACAGCCAAAAGCACACGCCACAGTCATTCTGCATCGGCTCAGCCTGTAGTTGAACCGTTCCTTGCTGCTGTCAAGGCTCCCTGTGTAGGGTTTCACAAGCTACGGCGTTAACGGGTAAGCAGGGTCTCCAAGGATCAGAATGGGCATTTTGACTTCCCCTACTGTGATCTTCCGCTCTGCGAAAAAAGTCCCGGCCCGCAGCTTCCTGAACCCGAGCCCAAAAGCGGCGTTCCACAGTGCTGAGCATGTCCGTGAATGCCACAAGCAATTTCGTGTCGTACGCGTTACACGACTCACTATCATCGTCTGACTCCTCACTGTCACTTTGGATCTTAAGGAATAGCTCGACTGCCAAACGTGATGTGCTGGCGAGACTCGTCAGCATACTCCTCAGCAGTTCGGCCTCCATTTCCCGCAGACCGAAACGGAACACAGATCGCGCTGCACAGAAACTGTTGAAAGATGGCGCCAAATGTGGATGGAAACACAGGGATTGCGGGGCGATGCATCATGGGGCGTTGGGACAAGACCCAGAATGCCCCACACCCCCCGCACCCTTCCCACAACCCATTGCGCCAGAATGGGAAGAGCTGCCCATAATGCACCGCTCCCAATGCCGCTGCAAGTGCCGCAAATGTGGCCACGACAGTGCGCTGTCAGCTGTCAGTGTGGACAGACTGCAACGCTTTCCCTACTCAGCGGTACGAAGACAAGTTTAACCCACAGCGCTGTACAGCTGTCATGTCTACACTGGTGCGATGTGGCATTTTCAATCTTGTTAAATTAGTGGACCACGACTATGGACATACAGTCCTAAAGCACACTTGTGGAAGTTTAAACATTCTTCCACAACCACTGTTATGACTGGTTGATTCAAAAAGGAGAACTGACGCCCCAATTTCCTAAAGACACTTTATGGAATTCTTAAGAAGATTGTCTACACATTTGCACCAAAGTATGTTGAAATTTTTCTAAGCATAAGGAGAACTTTGATCAAAACATAGAGCATATTTTACATAACTCAGTCCTTAACAAAGAGGAAATAGTTTACAAAAGTGATGAAAGACCTGACAGTTCACAAGCTCCTGACATTACCATCCCAGTCTTATTGAAAATGTAATTTCAAAGTAGCATCCAGAAGATTTCTGAAACATTTCTATTATTTTAGCCAATAAAACTCATCCCAAATATAAAGATCAGAAGTTGCGTCCAGAACAGGACGTAGAACTGGAGTATGGCTGATGGACAAAATCCTGAGTTCTTTTCTTTTAGCACTTAAAATTGATGATCCCACTTTCTAACCCAAATTTATGTTTGTGAAACAAGCTGTCACAGATGCATCAAAGTGGTAGAAAAAAAAGTAAAATCATCGAAGACTAGACATTTGAATTCAGAATTTTGCCAATTTTTAAAAGACCTTAACATCCTGGTCTAGCCAGCTCAGTCAACCATGTTTTCAAATTTGTTTTGTCAAAACTTCCTAATAGGGTACGTGCTAAACCCTTTAGGGCTTGTCTACACATGCAGTTATTCAGGAATAACTATTCCAGAATAACTTCATGTGTGGACACTCTTATTCCAGAAAAAGAGTGCCTTGGTTCCTATTTAAATTAATGCTTTTTGAAAGTGGGTTAAACTAACAGGAACAAGGCACTCTTATTCTGGAATAAGACTGTCTATATGGAACTTTTACTGCACAGGAGCAGGGTCCACATGGTGACAGTGCACAGCAGACTAGTGTATTTTACATTCACACCCCAGCATGCTGAGGCTTGCTCTACACTTAGAAGTTAGATTGACATAGCTACGTCAGTCAGTGGTGTGAAAAAAACACAACCTTGACCGGCATAGCTATGCTGATCTAAACCCCAGTGCAGACAAAGCTATGGCGACAGAAAAATGCTTCTGTCTATATAGTTAGTGTCATTCAGGGAGGTGGCATTAATTAGGGTGACCAGATCGCAAGAGTAAAATATCAGGACACATGGGGGAGAAGGGTGCACAGCCCTAGGAAGTTGCAAGAGGGGAATACGGCCCCTGCTGCAGCCCCTGCCACAAGCCACAGGGCAGGGGCGCAGGGCCACAGCTCCAGCCCCTGGCTGAGGCTGTGGGGCAGGGGTGCATGATCCCAGTTCCA